ATTTTGGTAAATGCTGTAACATACAAAAACAATAACAACCAAAAACTATGTGTGTGGTACACAGGTAAACATGTATACATGTATCTGTATAAGAAGCCACATGTGAGTACATGGGTGTGCATGTACAGATGTATCTGTAAGTATATGTATACACATGTCTATATGGGCCACATATATATAATAAACCACATAGGGGGCATAGTTACAAATACTACCTATAAACAACCAAGCACCTCGTGGGATAGGTTTACTGGGTTTGAAGGCTTGGGACCATAGTCTCATGGGATAACTCAGTCAATAGGCATAACATAGTTCTTAACAAGAATGTTCTATATCCTAGTTTAGTGAGTAGTATGTGGGGTCTTAAACTTGCTAGTGGTCATCTAAGGCATAGCTATTGATCTGTACTCCTATGGAACAAAAGAGAATGAAGGTGTGGTGTAGTAAATTACATAGTGTGGCTTTTCTAGCCATAAGTCTTTGTAAACTCCTTGGTGGAATTTGTCATGAGCAACTGAGTAGTTCTTGATTGTTAAAGTTATCCATCTGGGGTATTTCTGTTGAGAGTGGCATGAAGTAATCTTCTGGGAAGTTCTCTCTCTCTCAAGTGTGTAGAACTTGGATGTTGGGATTGGCTAGTTTGGCTACTCTGCCAGGCTCAAAAGGAGTCCTCCTAGAGGCAGAAGGAGTATCTCTGACTGCTGGCTGAGAAAGACGTGCTACTGAGAGAAGTGTGCTCCTGACAGACATGAGAGACACACGCTGCTGAGAGAGACATGTGAGAGACATGTACTGCTGAGAAAGATACACAAGAGTCATGCACTACTGAGAGAGCGATGTGCTACTGAGACTGCCGGCTGCTGAGTGAGACAGCCGGCTGCAAGAGACTGAGTGCATTTCTGAACTTGAATTGTAGTCTGTTGCTTCCCTAATAAACCCCATAATCTGTGAGTTCTGTGTGGCAACTTCAGAGAATTATCGAACCCAGCAGAGAGGTGGTGGGTGCTGTGAGGGGAACGGTTGGTGAAAGGGCTGGAGGGAGGCAGCATGTTTGGTCTTGCAGGAATAGGCCTTGGGCTACTGATGGTGATTCTGTCTTCTTTTTGTGGAGTTAAAGGAGGTCAGAAGATGTGGCCTCCTTGCCCCTTTGCTGGAAGGAAACTAAGACTCAAAGAAGAAACTAGTCCACAGCGCTAACAGCCTATGTGAACCATGGCCTCATCTAACCTGAGACCAGAAGAACTAGATGGTACCCAGCTTCACCAAGGTCCCAGTTAGAAAGGGAGAAAAATGTAGAACAAAACTGAAATTCCTAAAAAATGCCACACTTACTGGACCAATAGAGACTAGAGGAAACTCGAAGAATACTTCCCTAAGATGCTCTTTAAACTTGGAATTAAAGCCACTCCCAGTAGTCTCATTTCATCTATATAATAGACTGAAATATAAAAGAAACAATATCACCTGTGAACACTACGGTCCCTTAAACAATCAACTATATGAGACCAAATGTGAAATATATACTCTAAAACAAAAATAAGAAGCTAAGAAAGGACAAGGAACCTAGGTTAATGGAAACACAAAAAGAATAGAAATACTGAGACTGTTAACACAGTATAAAACGTAACTAATGTCATGGAATATGCTGTGTAGAAATTGTTAAATAAGAACCTAATTTGTTATGTAAACTTTCACATAAAACACAATAAAATATTTTTTAAAACAGACTTGAAAAACATTCAATGCCAACATAAAAACTTATAAAGCTACAGTAATTAAGCTTGTGTGCTGGAGGAAAAATAGATAAACAGACAAAAAGAGTCCAGGAAGATCCACACATATATGGACACCTGATTTATGATAAAGGTGGCCATGCAGAGCAGTGGGTAAAGGACAAGACTTTCAGTAAATGCTCTTGACTCAGATGGATATCCTTCTGGGAAAAACACGAACTTTGACTCCTATGTCTTATAGCTTAAATAAATCAATTCTAGTTGGATTGGAAAATCTAAATGTAAAAGTTAAATTGCAAACATTTCTAGAAGAGTACATCAGAAAATATCTTCTTCATGGCTGTGTGGAGAAGAAAACATTTTTTAAACAGAATACAAAGAACACTAATGTAGTAAGGAAAATATGGGAAAGTTTGATTATATTAAATTTATTAATGATTGTTCTTCAGAAAAGGAGCTCTGGTGGCACAGTGATAGGGCATTGGATGATGCTAACCAGAAGGCTGGCAGTTCAAACCCACCAGCTGCTCCATGGAAGGAAGATGAGGCAATCTACTTCCATATTTACCACCTTGGAAATCCAGTGGGGTTTGCTATGAGTTGGAATTGACTTGATGGCAGTGGGTTTGGTTTTTGTTGTTGTTGTTGTTGTTCTTCAGAAGGCACCAATAAGCTTCTGTTTGGGATGATGAAACAAGTTTTGGAAATACTGCTGATAGGTGCACAACATTGTGAATGCAGTTAATGTCAATGAATTGTGCACTTAAAAATTGTTTCAAAGGTAAATTATAGGGAAGAAGATGGTATCACACCTATAACCCACATGTTAGTTCCCTCAAGCAACATAATCCCTGGATAACTAGGTGAAGCAGATAGAAACAATGATACTGGAGTAATGAGAAACTAAGGAGAAATGAAAATATCAGATTTATTTTTAATGAACCACCTTTTACTGATTTATCTCTAGTCTTTTTTTTTTTCTATTTCATTGATGTCTTCTCTTTCCTTTATTATTTTCTTTCCTTGTCTTGCTTTATGTTTGATTTACTCCTTTTCTTTCTCCCTTTTTGAAGTGGAAGCATAGATTATTGAGTTTAGATCTACACATTCAATGCAATCCTGATCTAGGTATCATCAACATTTTTTAAGGACATGGAAAAAACAATTATTAACTTCATATGGAAAGGAAAGAGAATTTGGATAAGCAAAGCACTGCTAAAGAAGAAAAACAAAGTAGGAGGTCTCATACTTCCAGATCTCAAAACCTACTACACAGCCATAGTAGTTAAAACAGTGTAGTATTGGTACAATGATAGGTATAGTATAGGTGTCAACTCTTCCTGAATGTTTGGTAAAATTATCCAATGAAACCATCTGGGCCATGACTTTTTTTGTGTGTGTGTGTTTTTTTTTTTTTTATGACCTGCTCAATTTCTTCTTTTGAAATGGGTCTGTTCCCCATGATGAGACTGGTAATCAACTCCATGGTGGAATCTACTGTGAGCAGCTGACTAGCTGCCTTAGGGATGTAGTCTGCTTCCTGGATATAAGTAGAAGCCTTGGGGAATGGTTTCTAGCTTCTGGCACACTTGAACCCTGCATGTAGCAGTGTCATTGTTCAGTAGCCTGCCATGCTCTGCCGACCTTGGGACTTTTAACGGACTTGAATTAATGGCCTGCCGTGTGGTTTGGTAACATTGGGACTGTGCCTTTTTGCTTGTCAACCTTGGGCTTGTCAGCCTAAGCAGCCAGCAGCTGTCTGAGTGAAGAAAAGCCTCTAGCTTCAGTGGGCCAGGAGCAGGAGGCAGAAGGAAGCCCAAGGTTGAGGGGCTTTCACCCAGCCCCTAGAGTCTGGCACTCTGAACTCTGACTTAAAGCCTCTAAACATAAGACAATAAACTGATGTTTGTTCAAGCCATCCCATTTGTGGTATATTCTTGTCAGATTGGTCCTAGGTAACCAGAACAACAACAACAAAAAAAATAATGTTACTTTTTCCTATGCTTGTGAAAAGTTAAATACCTGTGGTGCTATATCTGCTTTCAGTGTTAATAAAATTAGAAAGAAAATTAAATGGTTTATCTATAAAATAAAGAGCCCTGGCAATGCAGAGGTTAAGTGCTCAGCTACTAACCAAAAGTCAGTGGTTCAAACCTACTAGCTGTTCTGTAGGAGAAAAACATGGCAGTATACTTCTGTAAAGATTTACAGCCTTGGAAACCCTATGGGGTAATTCTACTCTGTCCTGTAGGGTTGCTATGAGTCAGAATCAACTCAGTGGCAATGGGTTTGGTTTTGGTTTTATATGTAAGATATTACTTCTGTATAGATAGAAATTTGTAAAATGAAAATATTTTGGGAAAAAATAATATTCACTTCAGTCTTGTTGGGAAAAACAGATTTTTAAATTTTCCTTTTTTTCATGTAAATGGTATGTGTTTGATACTCATTCACAAGTTATATACTAGGAAACAATAACAAGCTGTGAGTTATTTCTTTTAGTTTTTATGTATGAAACCATTAGGGAAAAATTAAAGAGAAGGAATAATTTTTGTTGTTATTATTGAAGACAAATAGAAAATTTTCAGTTAAAATGTTCTACCTCCTCTCAAGGCTTATTTTGCATTTTTTCCATCTTTAGGCAATGAATCTAGAAACTAAATATTTGTTTTAAGACAATTCACTCTTGGGACATTCTGGGAAACAGTATGCTTTCACTAGATCTCTACTTACTCATATTTATTTTTAGTCATCGTATTCTAATATACCTAGAAAAAGAAGGATGAAAATAAATTGAGGCTCATTGTGAAAGCAACACACTTTAACCAAATCTATCTCAAGGGAAAGGAGAAAAACCATGGAACCTCCAATTAGAAACAAATTATTTATGAAAAAGGTCACTTAAGGGGCAGGGTATATATAAAGTCCCATTTGCTCATACATATTTTCATATTGCCTTATTTTGAAACGCACAAGCACTTATAAACACAGGTAAATAGTAGATATTAGTTAAATAAAAAAAATAAAAATCTCTACTCAATGTCATCTGAACAAATCTCACTTTCTGAAAGAACAGAAAGGTGATATTTTAGGCACCTAAGGTCATTTTATTTCTTCAAGGTTCCCCTACCCCAACCCCTGGCTCCATCTTGGAAATCTCCTGATATTTTTGTAGTTTTAGGGTTATACCATGAGCAAGCTGGTAAAACAGCTGCATTTTTATAGCTATTGGCAAAAAAACGATACCTTACAAGAAAAATATCTTACCACTTGTGCCGGAACTTGTTCCATTTTTGCAGCAGGAGTTCCTGGTCTTGGGTAAAACTGGTTAATAAAGAGGCTTGGGAATTTGTACTCTTCAACAAGTTTTACTGTTTCTTGAAAATCTTGGTCTGTTTCTCCAGGAAAACCACAGATGATGTCTGTAGCAAGAGTTATTCCAGGAACTCTAGAAAATAACAAGGCAAAAAGGTACAAAGGTGACTCCAAGTCGTAACTATTCTATTTATCTGACATTCTAAATATTATTGTTCTTTTTAAAATTGTATTTTTAGGAAATGACCCTTGCAAGTAGTTTCAAAAGAGCCCTAAACTATTAAAAATGCAGTGGTCCATTGTGTTTTTCTCAGAGTTACCCATCTTTAATTCCTTTAGATGTGTCTTCATTCTTTTCTTTGTATTTTTAAATAGATGGTTACACTGCTATTTCCAGATTTATTGATTTTCAGACAATACTTAGTGACTTCTGTATTATGGTAAATGATGATTTAGCTCTTTAAATTTCTTTCTCTTTCCTCTTCCAACATAATTATTGTACTTTTTTTTTTTTTTTTTGTTAAATATATAGTATACCCATTGGTATAACTAGCTAAAATAGCGCTCACTCATGAGCCAACTGGTATACCAAACCAAATCAATGCCACTGCCACTGAGTTGATTCTGACTCATAGCAATCCTACAGGACAGGTTACAACTGCTTCATAGGCTTTCCAAGGCTGTAAATCTTTAAGGAAACAGACTGCTACGTCTTTTTCTTTTGGAGAAGCTGGTGGGTTCTAACTGTCAATCTTTTGCTTAGCAGCTGAGTGCTTAAGCACTGTGGCATCAGGGCTCCTTGAACCAACTGGTATACTATCATTAAATTTGTTTTCCACAACTTTTAGTTTTTCTTAAAGTCAATAATTGCCTCTTCTAAAAAAAACCACATACACAAAAATTCAACTTGCTCTATAAACCCAAAACCAAACAAACCAACCCACTGCTGTTGATTCCCACTCATAGGAACCCTATAGAACAGGGCAGAACTGCCCCCAGAGGTTATCCAAGATTGTAATCTTTATGGAGGCAGACTGCCACATCTTTCTCCTCTGAAGTGGCTGATGGGTTTGCACTGCTGATTGTTTGGTTAGCAGCCAAATTCCAGAAAACTAAAAAATACCAATACTATCTTCTAAACGTTCGATGTATCATATAACTCACCAGTTCCATTTATTTTTCCTTCATCTGGAGATGTAACTATTGCTTTCTTTAAGTGTGTCTTGCTTTTACAATGAATTTACTGTCATTCCTGAACATTGTTCCTTGTTTTCAATCTCCCTTTCCCTAGATTGTGTATAGTCTTTTATATAGGTAGCATAGCACCTAAGGCTGTCTGCTAACCAAAAGGCTGGTGGTTCAAACCCATCAGCCACTCTTTGGAAGGGAGGTGAGGCAATCTACTTCCGTAAAGATTTACTGCCTTGGAAACCCAAAAGGGGTCTGTTCCTATGAGTCAGAATCAACTTGATGGCAATGGGTTTTTACATAGTCTTAATTCTTGATAATGCCGTCTCCCTCCTTCTGATGGGGTATGCTTTCAGAAGCTTCATCAGGAAGAATGCTAGGGAATTTTTGTTATTCAGTCTTAGCATGTCTGAACATGTCTTCATCCTCACAACTGATTGATAGTGAGGCTGTGTATAGTATTCAAAGTTGGAAAGTACTATTTATCAAGACTTTCTATTGTTCCATTATTCGTAGCATCATTTTGTTGTTGTTTTTAGTTGCTGTCCAGTTTTCAAGGCTATGATATTTTGGAAGCAAATCATCACACCTGTCCTCTGAGGCACCTCTGGATGGGTTCAAACTGCCAACCTTTCAGCTAGTAGTCAAGCACTTAACCACATGTACCATACCCAGGGACTCTCCATTATTTTGTAGCTGGCACAGCTGCTGATGACACAACCAAATTCACTCTGATGCACAATTCTTCATATGTGTCCCAACTCTCTGAAAACTTTTAGTATATATTCAATGTCTTAAAATTTCATGATACTATACCTTGGGTGTGCTTTTTAAATCTATGTGCAGGGTATATAAGACTGCAGTTATGCAGTCTGAAGACTTACAGTCTTTAGTTGTAGGAAATTTTCTTATATTATTTCTTTGACAATTCATTTTCTCTCTATGGGACTCCTCTCCTTTGGATTTTGAAACTATTGAATTGACCCTAAACGTTATCATTCTTTTCCATCTTTGTCTTTTTGTTCTATTTTCCTGGAAGATTTAATTGTGCTTATTTTCCAACCTGTCTACTGAAAAAAAAATTATCTGAATATCAAATTTTGAATTTTAAATTTCTAAGAGTTTTTCTATTTCACAGCATCCTATTCTTATTTTATAGATGCAGTATCTTTTCTTATCTCTCTGAAAATATTAGTGAAGTTTTTGCAAAGCTTCTTCTGCTTTTTGTAATTTTGCCTTTTCCACTATGTTCTTATATTTTGGTTCCCTTCATTCACAGATGAGACTTCCATCAATAAATAATGACCCTTGATGATCTTTTATATGTAAAAGGAAAGCACAAAAGCCTTTCATTACTCTTGGTTTTTGGTAGATCCTGCTGTTTCGGTTACCTCTCGTGCCACTCTGACAGATATATACCACAAATCGGATGGCTTTAACAAACAGGGATCTTATAGTTTTGGAGGCTAGAAGTCTGAGTTTGAAACGCAGGCTCTAGGGGCTGGGTGACCTTTGACCTTGGGCTTCAGCTCTGCCTCTTCCTCCTGGCTCACTGGAGCTAGAGTTATCTTTTCACTCAGGCAGCTGCTGGCTGCTAAGGCTAACAAACCCAAGGTTGACAAGTAAAATGGCACAGTCCAAAGATTACCAAACAATATGGCAGGTCCTTCATTCAAGTGCAGAGATAGTCCCAAGATCAGCAGGAAACATGGCAGGCTGCTAAATGAAGACTCAGCTACATACAGGGCCCAAGGGTGCCAAAACTGCAGACCATTCCCAATGTTTCTCCTTATATACTGGAAGCAGACCACATCTCTAAATAGCTACTTAGCTCCTTGAGGGAGATTCCACCACAGGGTTGATTGCCAGTCTCATCATAAGGAATAACTATAACTAGTTGCCCAGCGACTCCAAACCAGGACCAGCCAAGTTGATACATAACCTTAACTACCACACCAACCAAATGTTAGCATCTTGGAAGTTGTATCTGTGAAGCCATTTAGTTTCTCCATAAGCATGCTCTAATATCCTACCAAGGATTACAAAATTTTATTTTAGTGTTCTGTGAAATCCAGATTTAAAACCCAGTGTTATAACAACAGGAAAAACAGCCCAAGCATTTCCAATTTTAGAATGAATACTTAATTTATAGGTAAGTCTATTTCCCTAACAAATACCAATTTTCCTATCAACTAAATCCATTTCTATATGGATGAATAAAGCAATTAAGATATATGATATATTTTGGAGCCAAGGAGACAAAAATAATTAAGTAAATAAAGGTGCATCAGTAAGAAAAGCTGAATTACTGGATTCCTGATAGAAACGAGGAGCCCTGGTCATACAGAGGTTAAGGCTCGGCTGCTAACCAGATGGTCGGTAGTTCAAACCCATCAGCTTCTCTGTGGGAGAACTATGTGGCAGTCTGCTTCTGTAAAGATTTATAAGTTTGGAAACCCTATGGGGCAGTTCTACTCTGTTGTACAAGGTTGCTATGAGTTGGAATCAACTCGACGTGTACAGGTTTGTTTGTTTGTTTGTTTTTGGTTAATACAAACAATAGCTTTCTAAATCTTTTACATACTGCTTTAAGTTTTATGGGAAAAGAAGAATGACACACATTTTTTGTTTAAAAGATTTATTCTGAATTCTGCTTGGTCTCATCTAACTATTAATTTGGCTGAACTTTCAATTAGTAAGATAAGTTACAAGGTCTGAAGCTTTTCTTTGGGATGTTAAAGAGAAAAATAGACAATATGCATTGGAAAAAAATGAAATAGTATATTAAAAATTTTAAAATATATTTATTATGACATAAAGCATTTTTTTGTTCTTGAAGGATAATTATCAAAAGTACATTTGAAAATCATAAACTTTTACAGAAAGTTGTAGATTAACTAAAGTGTACAGAATAAAAAAAAAGTCAGTAAATTTTAATTGCCTTATAATTACTCCTGATCAAGAGAAACCCATAACTAAAAATAAAAGTAATAGGTTACAGCAGACAATGACAGAGAACAGCCCATTCAACCAGCAATTTTTTTTTAAAAAAGCAAAAACAATTGAATCTTAGAAACTGCCTGTGAAATATCGCAGAAATAAAGACAATTGGGTTATTGTCCTCGGGAATGAATTGGCATAAACTTGGCACTAGAGTACAGGGTATTCCCAAAGGAAAGTACCTTACTGATTTCCCCCATCTTTCTTGATCCATTTCAGTTGAGCTCAATGCCTGCTTACTTTGGCCTTGAGGTCCACAGCGGAATAGAAAAGACAAACGTTTAGAAAGCAGTTGTCATAAACATTATATCTATTCAATGCATGGATATATTTGATAATCTACATAAAAATCTGACAAGGACAGGGGTGGGGGCAGGTCATTAATGAATTAGTGAAAGACGTATGTTAATGGGTATCTACAAGTAATAGCAATTTAATTGGTTTAAAAGTACATGAGAATATAAACTGCTTATAAATGGATTTGTAATTATAGATGGTGCATCAGTATTAGCTGAAGCTCATCTATACGTTAACTCCAGATATGCAAATGATGCTGCTCATGTTCTTGAACATGATTTGCCCCTTAGTGGGATCAACTAAAATCTCATATTTATAATATTAATTTGCCTATTAAATAATTCTCTTCTGTCCATGGGAAAATGAAATAACCATTAAAAATGGGGCAAACTCTAAACTATTACCACGATTTAAGTGTCTAAAAGAAAACTGTAAGGGGTATAAAAGGGAATATTAATTCACATCTGTAAGGTGACAATTCTACGTAAATGTTGTTTTGAAATGCTATGAATTTTCAAAATACTAAAATCTTAAAAATGGTAATTTCTACAGATTTATTAAAGCTGTGAGTCTAATGTATATAATTATTTAAGTAATTTGTTTCTTTAATGTAAAACTTTCTATATTTATACTTTCATATTAGTTTTT